GTAAAGCGCCGCAGGGGAACTGCGCGGCAGGCCGATCCCCCCATGAAGTCAACCAGCAGTGATCTTTACACTTTGGGGACACGAATTTGACAACCCCTTCTTCCCACAAGATGTAAGGGTCGTGGGTAAATAGCCAGGGACTCCCCAGTACCAAATCGAACTGCGATTTAGGGGTAACAATAAAAGTTCCGGATTCCCAATGATCGCCAGCCCCCAATCGCAAAGCCATAGTCTCATGCGTACAAGGTTCCATGGGCGCCCCATCCATTTGGGTAAAAATGATGGGAGATTTCAAGGGGGCTATCCCAGCTTCTAGTGTCAATAATACTCTAGGGCTGATGAGATCCCTCCCACACCCAGAATCAATTAACGCTCTCACCCTGACGTGGGTACCCAGGAGCGGATTCATTAAAGAGACAGTCACGAAAAACAGGGAAGGGGTTTCCCTCACCACCTTGGGCGCAGTGCTGGAACGGCCGTGTCGTTTTGCGCCTCTCACAACAGGCCGTTGTCGTTTTCCGCCGGTTCAACCTCCGCTTCCTCCTCGAACTTCCTCCGCTTTAGGTAGGTCTCCCTCAGCTCCGCTCATGATCATGCCAGATTCGGAACGATAGGAGAAGGGAGTTCTAACAATATGTTGGATCCCCAAGCATCGAGAATAAATCCACGTTTTCAAGAAAAGCAAAATTTATTTCAAAGCGTTGAAGACATACTCAAACACGTTCTTTGTTAGAACTGGGGATACACAGGCAGGCCCAGCCAAATAAAGTAATATTCCCGCTGGCGGGTTAATGAAACGGTTGCGCGCCCAGTCTATGGGAACCAGGCAGAATGTAAGACACAACACAGGTGCAGTTCTCATGAGATAAGCAATAGGCAAGCATTACAGCATCTTCTCCCCCACACAACCTCCAGTAGTTATCTTATGCATTCCAGCACAGGAGCATGATGGTAGAAACAAGCCGGGTGCAGCAGGGTGAGGATATGTACACAGAGGTCACACAAAATACAATGGCAGCATGCTGACACCGCCATAGGGGGAGCTCCTTAGCTGGCACCACCAGGCTGTTTCCAGCAGGTGAATTTGCTGGTTCACTCATCCACTTTTAAGTCTCCCCTTTGTCTCTCGGCCTATGTCTGCTTTTCACTATCCCCCCCCCCCCCTCTGGCTTGGAACCCCTCTCTGCCAACTTTCCCTGTGGTACGACATCGATGCTAGATTGTTTCACAGGTGTGTACGCACACACACCAAGCCTTCTACCTTCCCTCCCTCGCACCAAGGCTTGTGGGCCAGATAAGAGCCCTGGAGGGGCCAGTTCCGACCCTCCATCCATACGTTTGACACCCCTGCTTTAGAATGTTTATTCTTAAGGGAGGGCAGAGACTTAAGGACCCCAGTTTCAGCCATTGAATAGTTTACTATATAAATGATAAAGGTAAAGGTTTCTCTAGCTCGAAAGCTAGTTGAATCCGACTCTAGGGTTGCGGTGTTCATCTCCATTTCCAAGCTGAAGAGCCAGCGCTGTCCAAAGATATTTCCATGGTTGTGTGGCCGGCATGACTAGATGCCGAGGCACATGGAACGCTGTTACCTTCCCACCAAAGCAGTACCTGGGGCCAGAGACGGGAGCTCACTCTGTCTTTAGGTGCTCCTGGGCTCAACATTAGGCGTTTGTGGAAAGTGTCATATCCTCACACCAGGCATCCCTTTCTTTCTGCAGGTGACGTGTGGCGGTCAGCAAATGGAACAGAAGAACCCCGATTGATGGAAAAAGAGGATACATATTCAGATGTGACAGAGAAGTTTGAATATTTGGATGCACCAAGGAAGGAGGAGGGAAAACACCCCCCTAAAGGGAGGAATGATTCTGGTCTTTTGCAGGGGGGTGGTTCTCTAAATACACGTGAAGGAGACAACAGGGATGAGCGCACTGTAAGCAAGAAAAGTTTCACAGACATATCAGTTTTTAATACTCACCAAAGGAGGTGTAACAGAAAGAAAATATATAAATGCCGGGAATGTGGAAAAAGTTTCAGGCAGAGAGGACACCTTACTTTCCATCGAAAAATTCACACAGGGGAGAAACCATACAAATGCCTGGAGTGTGGCAAAAGCTTCAGTCGGAGTGACAAACTTTCCTCCCATCAAAAAATTCACAGAGGGGAGAAACCATACAAATGCCTGGAGTGTGGGAAAAGCTTCAGATGGAAAAGCACTCTTATCTCCCATCAAAGAATTCACACAGGGGAGAACCCATACAAATGCCTGGAGTGTGGGAAAAGCTTCAGATGGAAAAGCACTCTTATCTCCCATCAAAGAATTCACACAGGGGAGAACCCATACAAATGCCTGGAGTGTGGGAAAAGCTTCAGATGGAAAAGCACTCTTATCTCCCATCAAAGAATTCACACAGGGGAGAACCCATACAAATGCCTGGAGTGTGGGAAAAGCTTCAGATGGAAAAGCACTCTTATCTCCCATCAAAGAATTCACACAGGGGAGAACCCATACAAATGCCTGGAGTGTGGGAAAAGCTTCAGATGGAAAAGCACTCTTATCTCCCATCAAAGAATTCACACAGGGGAGAACCCATACAAATGCCTGGAGTGTGGGAAAAGCTTCAGATGGAAAAGCACTCTTATCTCCCATCAAAGAATTCACACAGGGGAGAACCCATACAAATGCCTGGAGTGTGGGAAAAGCTTCAGATGGAAAAGCACTCTTATCTCCCATCAAAGAATTCACACAGGGGAGAACCCATACAAATGCCTGGAGTGTGGGAAAAGCTTCAGATGGAAAAGCACTCTTATCTCCCATCAAAGAATTCACACAGGGGAGAACCCATACAAATGCCTGGAGTGTGGGAAAAGCTTCAGATGGAAAAGCACTCTTATCTCCCATCAAAGAATTCACACAGGGGAGAACCCATACAAATGCCTGGAGTGTGGGAAAAGCTTCAGATGGAAAAGCACTCTTATCTCCCATCAAAGAATTCACACAGGGGAGGAACCATACAAGTGCCTGGATTGTGGGAAAAGCTTCAGATGGAAAAGCACTCTTATCTCCCATCAAAGAATTCACACAGGGGAGAAAACATACAAATGCCTCGATTGCGGGAAAAGCTTCAGTCGGAGTAACACTCTTATCTCCCTTCAAAGTATTCACCCAGGGGAAAAAGCATACAAATGCTTGGAGTGTGGGAAAAGCTTTGGTTACAGCAACGTTCTTGCTTCCTCTCAAAGGATTCACACAGGGGAGAAACCATACAAATGCCTGGATTGTGGGAAAAGCTTCAGTCGGAGGTATAGTCTTACTTGCCATCAAAGAACTCACACAGGGGAGAAACCATACAAATGCCTGGAGTGTGGGAAAAGCTTCAGTCGGAGGAACGGTCTTAGTTTCCATCAAAGAATTCACACAGGGGAGAAACCTTACAAATGCCTGGATTGTGGGAAAAGCTTCAGTCGGAGTGACAGACTTACTTTCCATCAAAGAATTCACACAGGGGAGAAACCATACAAATGCCTGGAGTGTGGGAAAAGCTTCAGTTGGAATTACAGTCTTAGTTTCCATCAAAGAATTCACACAGGGGAGAAACCATACAAATGCCTGGATTGTGGGGAAAGCTTCAGTCGGCGTGACAGTCTTACTTCCCATCAACGAATTCACACTGAGGAGAACCTATGTAAATGCCTTCAGTGTGGGAAAAGCTTCAGTCGGAGTAACAGTCTTACCTCCCATCAAAGAATTCACACAGGGGAGAAGCCATATAAATGCCTGGAGTGTGGAAAAAGCTTCAGTCATAGGAACAGTCTTACTTCCCATCAAAGAAATCACACAGGGGAGAAACCATATAAATGCCTGGAGTGTGGAAAAAGCTTCAGTCGGAGTAACACTCTTATCTCGCATCAAATTATTCACACAGGGGAGAACCTATATAAATGCATGGAGTGTGGAAAAAGTTTTGGAAGAAAAGATCCTCTCACTGCCCATCAAAGAATTCACACAGGGGAGAAACCATACAAATGCTTGGAGTGTGGAAAAGGTTTTGGAAGAAAAGATCCTCTCACTGCCCATCAAAGAATTCACACAGGGGAGAAACCATACAAATGCTTGGAGTGTGGAAAAGGTTTTGGAAGAAAAGATCCTCTCACTGCCCATCAAAGAATTCACACAGGGGAGAAACCATACAAATGCTTGGAGTGTGGGAAAAGCTTTGGTTACAGTAACATTCTTGCTTCCCATCGAAGAATTCACACAGGTGAGAAACCATACAAATGCCTGGAGTGTGGGAAAAGCTTCCGTCAAAGTGGAAAACTTACTTCCCATCAAAGAATTCACTTGGGAGAAACCATATAAATTCCTGAACTTTGGAAAAAGCTTCAGCTGCAGCTCTCACCTCAGTGTCCATCAGGAAATTCATACAGGGGGGAAACTAGAGAAATGTCTAGAGTGTGGAAAAAGCTTTAGTCACAGTGGAAGCCTTACTTCCCATCAAGGAATTCACAAAGGGGGGAAATCATATAAAAAGCTTCAGTCGCAGTTTACACGTTGGTGTCCGTTAGAAAATACACAGGGAGAAGCCAGAGAAATGCATGGAATGTGGGGGAAGGCTTCAGAGTGCACACTTTAACGGCCATTAAAAAGTTCACAGAGAAACCATACAAAGGTATGGAGTGTGGGATAATCTGTGGTCACAGTAACGTTCTTACTTCCCATAGAAGAAGTCACACAGGGGAGAAACCAATTTGTAAGATTGATATTTAGTATTTGTAATGTTTCAAAAGTTTTCAGTTCATTGTCTTTAGTTAACAATATTTCATAGTTAACATTCTTGTTTTCAGTCATTAAGGTTGGCATTATAAAAGCTTCTAATGGGGATACCCACATTGGTATTTTGACATAGAACTTTTCTTTGATGTTTCTCCATATTTTTTATTAAAGCTCCTCTAATTATATGGTTATGGAAGTTTTGTTGTGTTTTCTCTTTGTCATACCATACATAGGCATGCCAGCCCATGTGTAGGTCATGACTTTCTAGTTTTAGTGTTCTTTTATCCTCTAATAATATCCATTCGCGAATCTATCCCATCGTCGCTGCTTTGTAGTAAAGCTGCCAGTCTGGTATTCCAAGTCCTCTTTCTTTTTTATCACACAATAGTTTCGTTTTGACGCGCGATCTCTTAGCTTGCCATATAAATTTCTCACTATTTGGTCTAATTCCTCGCATATTTTATTGTTTTTCAATATGGGTATACATTGTGCTAGAAATAGAAAGTGTGGAAGAATATTCATTTTTATAGTGGCAATTCTGCCCATAAATGATATCTGAAGATCGTGCCATTTATCTAAATCTTTCTTAATATCTTCTATTAAGACTTTATAGTTATTTTCGTATAGTTGAGCATTTTTATTTGTAATTGTAATGCCTAAGTATTTTACTTGTCACCTCAATATTTGTAATCATTTGAATGTTGTTCATTTCTTCCTTAGTGTAGTTTTTTGTCAGAATCTTGGTTTTCTGGCCCGCTAAGAAGCCATATTCTTGTATCCCATTTAACAAATGTAGTATAGAGGTTGCTGGTTCTTCTAAAATAAATACAAGATCATCAGCAAAGGCTTGTAGTTTAAATTGCTCACCCTTAACTTTGAGTCCTTTTATATTTACATTATTTCTCACCATATTGTTTAAAGTCTCTATTCCAAAATGAACAGTAATGGCGAGAGTGGGCAACCTTGCCTTGTTCCTTTCTGGTATGTTTTGCGTTAATTCTCCGTTGACAATTATTTTAGCCCATTGTTCTTTATATATAGCTGTTATCATCTTCATGAAATTTTCGCCACAGTCCCATACTTTCAATTTATATTTTAAGAAATCCCAATTAACGTTGTCAAAGGCTTTCTCCGCGTCTAAAAAGACCAGTGCTAGTTGTTTTCCAAGGTTGTGTTAATAATATTCTAAGACGTTTATAATAGTTCTAACATTTTTTGCCTTTTTGGGAGGAAGCCTGATTGATCTCAATGTATAACTTGAATCATTACCTTCTTGAATCTGGGAGCTAAAATTGTTGCAAAGATCTTATCTACATTTAGAAGTGAGATAGGTCTATAGTTTTTAATTTCATTATCTTCTGTATTCGGTTTATGAACTAAAGTTATTACTGCCTCATTCCACGAGTTTGGTGTTTTCTCTGCATTCATAATTTTATCCATTAAATCTTTAAATATGGGCAATAGTTCATCCTCCAACTGTTGAAAAACGTCCGCTGGTATACCATCTGGCCCCAGCGATTTCCTTTTCTTTTGTTTTTTAAAGGCTTCTGTTATTTCACAGAGTGTAATCTTCTCATTTAAGATTTTTCTTTGTTCATCTGTAAATTTTTTGCTGTTATACTTCAAAAGAAATTCTTTTAGGTCTTGTTGTTTTTGTGGTATTTGTTTGTAAAGTTCTCTATAGAAATTTTCCACAATGTTCTTTAGTTCCTGACTTTTATATTTTATCTCTTGTTTCTCATTTTTTAATGCTAAGATTGTTCTTTTCTCTTTTTCTTTCCTAAGTTTATAGGCTAACCAGGGAGTAGGTTTGTTAGCATTTTCAAAATAGTATGCTTTCGTATATTCTAGTTTGTTAGCGATTTCTTGTGTTAATAGCATGTTTATTTGATGTTGAATCATTTTTATTTTAATCATTGTCTCTTTTATGTCTCCCTTGCTTTTTGCAATGGATTCTTCCTTTTTTAGATCTTCTGACCATTTTTTGAAGTTTTCTCTCTTTTGCTTTTTCCTCCATATCTCTTGTGTAGTAAATAGACCTCACATATATGCTTTCAGAGTATCTCATACTGTACTTAGTGGCATATCTTCTGTTTTGTGGAATGAGCTCCCAGGGGAGATCCGGGCCCTGCGGGATCTTATGCAGTTCCACAGGGCCTGCAAGACAGAGCTCTTCCGCCAGGCCGTTGAGTAGGAGCCACCGCCTCTACTATACCACCATCGCCTGTTTTGGACTAAGCCCTGAGGAAACATCTTAATATTGAGCCGTGGGAAGTACCACTCCGAACTTCGGACCTACGATCTGCCATCTCTGGAATTATGCAAGTTATTGAGCACCATGTTTTAATTAAGATGTTTTAAAGATGTATTATATGTTTTTAAATCATTATGTATATTATGTTTTTATTATGGCAAGGTTTTGCCTTACCTCTGTAAGCCGCCCTGAGCCTATCAGGGAGGGCGGGGTATAAATGTGAAAAATAAATAAATAAATAAATTTGTTTATTTTAATGAATTCTTTCACCTCTAATTTGATTTTTGTAACAATTTTTTTGTCCTTTAGCAGTCTGTTATTTAATCTCCATCTTGAATTTCTGCCAACTTCTTGAAGAGATATCCACATAGGGCTATGATCAGCAAATCTGTTAGGCAGTATTTCTACTTCTAACAATTCTTTCGCCAAGCCTAGATTTATCCACACCATATCAATTCTAGACCATGATCTGTGTCTGGTTTTCACAAGCCAACGGTGAGGGCCGGGGAGAGAAGCTGCTATATTTGTCCTGCACACGTCTCCCATTATCAGCCTCAATTCAGCTGATTGGCCAAAGCCCGTCCCAGCCTGGGTCCCACCTACCTGCCGGACCGCCTCTCCCCCTCTTCTCCACCAAAACAGCTGGGGCTCCTCTGAGCAGGGCCTTCTGCAGGTGGCCCCCTGCGAACGGGCAACATCGACTGCCTGTTGTCCCTGTGCATTCTGTGTTGTGCCCAGAGCCTGTGGAAATCGCCTGGCTGAGGAGGTGTGGAAGGCTTCCATTCCCCTGGCTTCTGGCAAATTATGGAATGAAATGCTTTTTAGAAAGATGTTTTGGTGTAGGGACACGGACTGCCGTTTGCATTACAGTGTCCAGTGTCTAAAGAAGAAGAGGAGGAGGAGGAGGAGGAGGAGATTGGATTCCTGTTGATCTAAATTGTCGCACACTATGCTGGGAAAGATTGAAGGTCAAAGAAGACGGGGACGGCAAAGGATGAGATGGTTAGACCGTGTCATATATGCAACGAACATGAAGTTGAGCAAACTTCAAAGGACGGCGGAAGACAGGAAGGCCTGGCGTGATTTGGTCCATGGGGTCGCAAAGAGTCGGACTCGACTGTGCGACTGAACAACAACAAATGGAATCCTCCTTGAGTCTCGGTGGGAAAGGCCAACTAGAAAAGACATAAAGAAGAAAGAATGCTCAGATCTGACCTATTCCCGGGTAGACCGAAGCCCCAAAAGATGGTGGCTCTTATGACTTAAGAGTCTGGCCTTTAAACATTTATGAGAAACCCAAATGTTAACCCCCAGCAAATGCAAACAAGCCAGGCATCGAAGGCCTCATGAAGAGGCTGAACCCCTGAGCCGACCAACAAACGCATGGCAAAGAGGGCCACACAATGAAGTAACTAAGGGCTGCGCTCGAAGCTGGGTGCTCCACAGTGCTCACAACCCGGAGGCATAAGTGCTGGTCGCTTCCATAGACTTCTCCTTCCCCAGATGTTTTTCTGCTCCCTCCCTGAGAGAGATGCAGCAGTGCCACGGCTCTTGCTCATGCTGTTCTCCTGTGTATCCCACTTCTCACACCAAGTGTCGGGGACAGAATCGCACCTCGGGGCCCCTGCGTTCTCCCCCAGGGCAGATCAGACTCTAGAGCAGGGCCGTGGCCTGGTGGCGGGTCCACAACCAGCAGTGGACAAACAGAGCCCCAGGCAAAGATCCTTTAAAGGAAATGGCCTCCTACACTGACCTCATCACCCACTTGCCCGACGTTAGGTTGACCAGATTGGGGAATCCAATCTGCTGTGGAGGCCGCTTGAGCCTTGGAATTCCTCCGATGAGAGAAAGTAGAACTTTGCTCCTGGGCTGTCCCAGACCTCTGGGGCAGACGATGTCATGGCACTTCTGTCCCTCCTCCGCTCGGCCTTCAACTACTGAGTCCTTCCCCCATACATCCCAGACTGCCCAGTTCTTAACACGGTGCCAGATATTGTAAAGAAATTGGTTCCCCAAGGTTCTTGTTTTCCTCAAACGTCATTTCAGGCCCGAAACTGAGTTGAAACAGTCTTTAAGCAGAGAACTAGTGGCAGCTAGAACAAGCTGACCTTGTTATGCTTAGATAAGAGTCCCGGTGCAGGAGGAACTGGGTGCCTAGCGAGTACTTCCTTCCCAAGGAGCCGGGGCACCTCGGCACTTCCAATTGGCTGCATTCCATCCAAGCAGGAACTCATTTGCATATTAGGCCACACACCCCTGATGTAGCCAATCCTCCCAGAGCTTACAGTAGCCCCTGTAAGGATTGCTCTGTAAGCTCTTGGAGGATTGGCTA